TCTCATGGCTTGGACAATAAGTCCCTGCCCAAGCACCACTTAATGGCTATTTTTGGGCCCTCCTTGCTCAGAGTGAATGTAAATAGTAACTGTTTCTCTATTGGCCAGCAACCCTGAGGTTCTTCCCCTCCCAGTTTGATTTTTTTTTAAATTAAACAAGCCATCCCTTGACGCACTTCTTGCCTCACTCAAAGGGAGAACCTGAAAAGACCTTCGCTTAAAAGGTCAAGGTCTCCCTCCCCCTAAATCCTGGGCATCTCCAGTCGTCCTGATCAATATCTGGCCACTGGACCCAGATGGCTCTGGAGGAGAAAATGAGTCTGGTGATTTTGCACAGCCCTCCCTCAGTCAAATTAAAGTCAATTGCAAGTCATGTCATCATCTCCCTGATGTCATGGTCCTCTTCAAAAATGAAGGACAAACCACACACAATTAATTGCCAATCAGCTCATTTCCAGATTCGGGAGAAAGTGACTTTTTTTTTTAACTTCAGGTAACTCATCTCCCTTCTCTGGATCTGTTTCCTCATCTGCAAAATGAGGGGATAGGATTAAATCATCCTCTGGATCCCTTCTGATCCTGGAAATCTATTAATTCCATGGTTCAGTGAACTCATGACTTCCTACAGATCCACAGAAGACCCCATGCCCAGCAATGAACAACTGAGCTTTGTTGTAAGCAAAATATCTGGGAGGGCCTCCCAGCATTAGGGGACCAAGCAGCTATAACCCAGGGCAAAATCAGCCTTGGTATTAATGCTTGGGCTTCCCAATAGAAGACATTGCTAACAGAAAGATCGGATAACCTTACCTGTGCATAAAAAAGTACTTCATTTTTACTCAGCAACATCATTTATTACTAGTCCATGCTTGCTCCAGGAAATGAACAGAGTGGCAAGCTCAATCACGCAATAATTCTCAGCCTGCCCCTAGGGAATGGGGAAGAGACTTTTTGCAAGGATGGCATGAAGTCACAGGAGAAGGTATTTTATTGGTAGCTACAGAGAAACAGAGGGCAGCTATGTGGTACAGTGGATAGAGTGCTGGGCCTGGAGTAAGAAAGACTCATTTTCCTGAGTTCAAAATCCAACCTCAGACACTAGCTGGGTGACCCTAGGCAAATCATTTAGCCCAGTTTGCCTCAGTTTCCTCATCCGTAAAATGAATTGGAGAAGGAAATGGCAAACCGCTCCAGTATCTTTGCCAAGAAAACCCTAAATGGGGTCATGACGAGTCAGACATGCCTGAAACGATTGAATAAAAAGCAGAGGAATGAGAAGTTGAAGAGTATCTGGGCAAGGGGACTGAGACAGAAGTTAAGCACGGGAGAAAAGGAGTTTGCCTGTTATCTCTAAGACCTAAAACCAGGCACTACACATAATTGGTGCTTAATAAATATTTGAATTAAATCAGGAGCTAAGATCCTTTGGATTCAAGCTATAAGAGTGACTAATAATGTTGGTTTAGTCCCTGTCAAAGGAATTTGCTCTCATCTCCATATGTCTTCCAAACTAAAAATTAGAAACAGGTGGCCAGATAGAGTACACTCTTTTTTGCAAAGCATTATTAAACACGCATTTTATTTTCCTAAAATCAGGACTGTACCACTGGGTTATATGGTTGCTATGCCCATATCCTGATTGGGCCTCTGATGCTTAAAGCTCCTTCCTGAAGACTACAACCAAGAGATTAAGGCCTCCCAGTTCTATGGGGCTAGATTCGTCCCCTTGGTGTAGCTCTCCGAAAAGCCGAGAGTTGGTATCAGAGAAGTATCAGGAGAATACTAATCAGTCATGCCAAATTTGTCCTGTATATAGATTGTTTATACATAGTTATTAGCAAGTTATCTCCCCCTATTAAATTGTAAGCTCCTCAAAGGCAGAGACTGTCTTTTACTTTATCTTGTATCTCTAGTGCTCAGCACAGTTCTTGGCACACTTAATAAATGTTTATTAACTAACTGACGCTCTGTACTTTAACCTCTTTTTTTTTTTCTTGACCGACAGCCATAGGCTAAGAGACACTTCGGCAAACATACGTTGAACATATGAATCTCTTTCCCTATGTGGAGGTGCTGCTGCTCGGTCCATTGGACAGAGACTACACCAGGGGTGGGGAACCTTCGGCCTTGAGGCTATATGTGACCCTCTAGGTCCTCAAGTGGGCCCTTTGACTGAATCCAAACTTCACAGAACAAATCTGGTTACACCAAGCTGCAGCTGAGCATGTCAGAGCTCAGTGGAGAAGGCTCAGCCTTTATTAAACACACGATAGAAACTTCTAGCAATCACAGGAAAAATGCTTTAAATCACAACAATAAGAAAAATGTAATTCAAAACAACTCTTAAGTTTTTACCTCCCATCTCAAAAACTAGCAAATATGGCAAAAAGATTAAAATGTCCATGGAGAGTTTATGGTAAAACAAGGACATTAATAAATTATTGGTGCTGCTGTGAAACAGCCTGACTGTGCTAGAAAGAAATTTGGAATTAGGCTAAAATAAAGTGACTAAAATATGAATGTTCTTTGACTCCAGAGATCACACTGCTAGGCATGTGCTCCAGCAAAGTCAAAGACAGAAATATACAAAAAAAATATATACATATTAGCACTTTTTATGGTAGAAAAGAACTAGAAGCAAAGTTGGTTATTATTGATTATGGAATGGCTAATCAAATTGCAGGGCAGCTAGGTGGCACAGTGGATGACGTGCAGGGCCTGGAGTTACAAAGATTCATCTTTCAAATCTGCCCTCAGATTCTTACTAGTTGTGTGACCCTGGGCAAGTCACTCAACTCCATTTGTCTCAGTTTCCTCACCTGTAAAATGAGCTGGAGAAGGAAATGGCAAACCGCTGCAGTATCTTTGCCAAGAAAACCGTCAGACACAACTGAAATGACTGAACAACAATTAAATTACAGTAGATGAATGTAATGGGATATGTAGAATAAGCAATGAGAAATAGGAAGAATTTAGAGAAGTATAGGAAGGGTTGTATGAACTGATTCAGATTGAAACAGACCCAAGAAAACAATGTACACAACCACTAGAATGGAAATGGAAAGAACAAAAACGAGAGAAGCAATGTTATATAATTACAGGAGGTAGGTATGGCCTTAGAGAAGGGTTGAGGAGATGCATCTCTGTCCTTTCATTGCAGTAATGGGGGATCATGAAGGCAGAATATTGTATTTACTGACAAACAACATTGACATGGTTAATTTTACTGAAGTGCAGATAGACAGAAATAGAGATATTCAGAAGATAATGTGATAACAAAAGACATCAATAAAAATAAAATGAAAATCAAAAAAATAACACATGCAAGAATTTCTTCTGACTTATCAGTTGCTCTGAAAGATCCCAGACCCAAGAACAGGAGACCCTCTCTTAATTAGCTGTGACATAACAACCCCCTTATTTTACAAACAAGGAAACTGAGGCCGAGAGAGAGATGACTTGTACAAGGCCTAGGGTTTAAACCCAGGCCCTTAAGCTCCAATCCAGCATTCTTTCTGTTGCACCAAATGTTAACTTATTGACTGGCTCCGAAGAATAGGAAACTGGGACAGATTTGAGGCAAGGAGAAAAAAAATGTCATTCCCTTTTCTGATTTTGAGAGAAACAGAGGAGAGAGAGAGAGAGAGAGAGAGAGAGAGAGAGAGAGAGAGAGAGAGAGAGAGAGAGAGAGAGAGAGAGAGAGAGAGAGAGAGAGAGAGAGAGAGAGAGGAGAGAGGAGAGAGAAGAGAGAGAGAGAGATCAGGAGCTAAGGGAGAAAGATTGAGGAATAAGGTAGACAATGGGCTTCAGAATCCAATGGATTTTCCCTGGAGATATGGAGGTGACAGAGTTGGGGGAGTGATGATGTATCTCTATCTCTTCTGCAATAATTTTGGGATGAGTTGTTTGAGGTATAGCTGAACATGGAAAGGATACTCCAAAGGGATGAGAAGAGTGTAAAGGGATATAAAATCCAATCAAAGCAGAATTTGGAGTTTCCCTGTGAGGGTAAGGAAGGGGTTAAGCTGGCTGCTGGTGAAGGCTCTGGAGGCAATCTCACCAGCTATAAACAGAGTGTGGAGGCCAGTGCACAGGATGTGGCCGGCAGCTAAAGTTGTCTGATTATTAACTTCACTTTTATTTGGAGGGGGATGCTTCTCTGTTTTGCTTCCCATCAAGGAAGTGAAAGTCCAGGTCTCAGAGCCTGGTTTCAGATTTTGTTGTCATACTTCATTTATTTATTTTTAAATTCATAAATAAAGCTAGACAACTGTTTGTTTTCTCTTTAATGAGCGTTCACTATATCATGTGGCGGTGTGGCCTGAAAGCAGTTTTCCAGAGTCTTCCACTTGAAAATGTTGTCTTTTAATTTTTTTTGTTTTTTTGTTAAAGAATTAGATTCCTTTCCCCACCTTTAAATTTAACTTAGCACCTTTCTTCATTCATCTCAGAAGCTAACTTTACACTCTGATCAATACCATAAGGACCTTAGAGAGTCTTTAACTAAGATCCTAAGCTCTTCTAGGGTAGGTACAGATCTTCCTCACCTGTCTTTGTATGCTCTGTAACTGATTATAGTCTATGTTATCCTGTCTGTTTGAAGTATTCTCACCGCTGGGTACAGAAGGATAAAATCCAGACCTATCTCATGCCCCAGTCAAGAAGATACCAGGGTCTGACATCTGCCTCCAAGTCCAATATTATATTTACTTGTCCTTGTAACAGTCTGCTAAAGTCAATAAACTCGGGGCAGCTAGGTGGCGCAGTGGATAGAACACCAGCCCTGAAGTCAGGATGGACCTGAGTTCAAATCCGGCCTCAGATCAAACACTTACTAGCTGTGTGACCCTGGGCAAGTCACTTAACCCCAATTGCCTCAAAGCCAAAAAATTTCTTAAAAAATTTTAAAATCAATAAAATCAATAAACTCAAAAGGAAGAAATATTTCATTATAGTGTCTAAGAAAACATTATTTCAAATATTTCTTTAACCAGGATTCAAATTCACTTGCCTATGACAAGCCCGGACCAACTTATAAGTTGACATTCATAATGCTTCTGCAGATGCTGAGAAAATAGAAGAAACAGGACTTAGGATACCCCATTCCTGGAGGAGATGGAGAACTAAGAAATGTGGTAACAACTGGAGAGGTAGGACCTCACTGAGATTGCTTTCATGGTAACCAAAATGCAGGCAAAAGGGAGATCAGAATTACAGGTTAGAGCTGGAAAAGGATTTTGGAAATAATCTACTCCATTTCCCTCATTTTACAGATGAAGAAATGAATAACTAATTAAATCCAATGAATAATTTAGTGAGTATTATCAGCAAAATCTTAAAATTAGTATGGGAGCCTGCCCAGATCTCTTGGTACCTAGATGGGTGTAATATGTTGACATATAATCTACGTATAAGCTTCCAGAACCTTAGGTTCTAGATACTATACTTTGTAAAACACCCAGCCTTGGGCCCTGAAATTTGGGCATTCAATAAATATTTGACAGCAATGCTGATCAACTTCAATTGCCACTGATATTTATATTTTCTAGAATCTGGCAGATTCTGGAGGGAACTGGCCAATGGAGACACGAGGAAATCCTCACAGCAAACACAGATGCTCTCTGCCTGCTTCTAATCCAACCCCATGAAAACTTTGGGGATCCATGTTTCCACAATGAGTGACTTGGGGATTGCTAGAAAATGATGATGAAAAGTCTTCTAAATGGCTGTAGAGTCAGAGGAACTAATGATTCAAGAATTATGGAGCTAGAACTGAGTGTACATATGAAAGGTACAACTTGCCCATCTCTCAGTCTTCTCTTTGCAGCTTCGAAGAGGCAGGATTGCTCTGAAATGGTCTGAGAGCTGACTGGGGACAAAGGTGGCTGCCTGGCATCCCCTCAACCAGCCAGTGTCAGTTGTGAGCATATTGATGTCTCTGTCTCTTTGTATTAATTCTTTTCTAGTATTAGATGAAATGAGTACTTCAAAGTTAATGTGTCTAGGAAATGACTGAGTTTAGAAGATCCAGGTCCCATCAGCAACCAGAATTGGTTAGTAGCATCTACCAGAGACAGCAGCAATAACCACAGGAATAATGAGGTAACTAAATAGCAACCTTGAGTTGGGTATGCCCAGGCAGTGACTTTGTGATCATTGTAAGGTGGCAGGGTTATAGCTGGGTGTCCTAACCCCACAGCAGCCAAGACTGGCAAGGATCCAGCACAAAAGCCAGCTAGTGACTTCTTCCCTAGCACCCAAGCAGATGGAGGGGTGGGGTAGGGAAGAGAGTACCAGAACAGCTCAACCTTGTATCAGCAGTGCAATGGCCTGCCTACATAAGAGCTACACCCAGGGGAAACTTCATGAAGACTCCATAAAGGGAAGAAAAAATCTCTAGGGCCATGAGGCAGTAGGTACCCTGCAGCTTATACATGTTCCCTACGTGTATGTTTAACTACCATTGTACCTTAAGTTGGAGCCCACTCTCCTCAGAAAAACTGTAGGTGTGTAAGAGGATTTTAAACCCTCAGTTTGGGAGGAATATTTTCTACCATCTGTTATACCATCTTAATAAATCTCCTTTTAAAAAAAAGGTAATAGAGGCTAGCTGACTGATTGACAACAGTGAACACACTGGTAGGGGCTCAGGAGCTATCGTATTAACCCTTAGAATTCTGAGGGGGTCAACCGCCCACCTGAGGACCCCAAATGAGTGCAAATACCTCAGAGCCAGTATTCCATAAGAAAACAACCAAATTACAATGAACTGGATTCATTTGCAAGGGAATCCTGTCTTGCACTCCTAAGAAAAGATACTAATTTCTAAGATTTTTCTGTTTTTAGGGATCACTCATTCTCACCGTATTTCTTCTTCACACCCTAAACTCAAGAAAGCCTGTTGTTGGTGAGCAAAGTTTATTGTTGGAGTGGCAATGTTCGCAAGACTTTTTGTGACCCTAGGAAGGAAGGAACAGGTGAAGGAAGGAAAGAAAAAAAGAAAAGAAGAACAGGAAGGAAAACAGAAATATTTTCATCTTGCAGGATATTTGATTACCTGAACAAAAGTCCTTGGTGGGATGAAGATTGGGTTAAAACCTGGCCACATAAAAGATGGTGAAATTGTTTTCTCATTTTTAAAAGGATCACGAGGATAGTACTGCCCTTTGGCTCTGGGGAAACAGTCAAGGCTTTGCCTCCCAAATTGGCACCCTGCCCTGCTTTCTACAGGAACAAATCTCAGTCCTGACAGACCTACTAGCTAACAGGCAGGAAGGATTTTCTGAGGCTGGACTCGCAGACCGATCAAATAGGAAAGCGGGTGGAAACTTCCCAGTCCAATTCCCCACTGTGACAAGGAATAAACCAAAGAGGATAAATTGCTTTTGCCCCAAAGACTCTGGAACAATTTTGATGTTACAAGGGCGTGTTGGAACCAAACCTTTGATTACCTGTAGCTTGCAAGAATTTTTGAGAAGTATGATCAGCAATTAGGAGGATGCAAAAATGTGCCTAACTCCCTCTTTGTGTTCCTTGGTGGAATATGGCCCCACTCATCTGTACTCTCTATGTACATCTAAGGCTGTCATCATTGCTACCATTGTAGGACTGAGATAGATAAATGTGGTCATACTACCCTCCAGTGGCAACTATGAGAAATAACATTGTGCTGGTCTGTAGCTAGATACAGGTACTTTTGAAGAGCCACAGGTGGGTTCCATCTACCCTCCCCCTCCTCCACCACTTCCCTGCCACATGCAGCTGTCCTGTATGCCACGTATCCAGTGTCAGGAGAAACTACCCTTTGCTATTTTTTGGAAAAGGCCATTTTTCTGTCACCTGTCTTTTATCCTTCCCACCTTCCCATTCATAGCCCCTCGAACCTGCCTTTTGCCACAACGCATCAGCCACCAGAACAAAATATGTAGTTAATCAGCGTTGCTGTTAGGGTGCATTTAGCTATGTTCAGTCTCAGAAATGACAACATTTGGACAGAACAAATGGGGGAGAAAGGAGCAAAATAGTGCTTGGAGTAAAATAGTGCTATTCATGTCCTATCCTAGAGAAACCCTCCCCTACAGCCTCTGGGCCAAATGCTTACCACTCCTCTCCTGTGTTATAAAACTACACACTTTCCCCTTCTATTCTAATCCCGAAGAAACCTAAACAATATTCTCTGTTAGGCAGAACACAGAAGGGGAGCGAACTGAACAGAAGAGGACCACCCAACTCTCCATACTCACTCTGATAAAAACTTTAAATTCACACCAGATTGAATAATTAACAAGAAATCCAATGAGAAACTACAGTAAATTACTTTTTTCACCACCCCCCTCAGAACTACACAAAAAGCTAGCCAGAAGCCCATGAGGCAATAGGAAAGGGGACTTCCATTGCCAGCCCCAGCAAATAGGTTGGAAGCTTCCCAGCAAGCATAAAGAAAAGGCCACTAGCTGGCAGAACTTCATGTGGAAAGGCAGCAAAGGTTTAGGGCTCCCTGAAAAAGCCTTAGAAGCATCAGAAACCCACAGTGAGGACCTTGGAAACCCCAGGAAGTTTCAACAAGCAGTGCTTTATGGCAATGCCCATATCATGATAGCCTATGTACCCAGGGCCTCCCTCCTAAGTCTATAGCACTCTGTCCTAAGATATCAGAGAGGGCCCTGAAGATCTAGCATTGCCAGCCATAAAGATGCAATAGGGCCTAAGCCCAGGAGGTGCAAGAACAGAGGGGACTGAGGGAATGACCAGCTATGGCCAACCTTCCTACCCAAAGGCACAGCAGAGAGTAGAGCCTGGTCCTGGCACAAAGCTCTACTTTAAGAACTAAACCAAAGAAAACAGTGACCAATATAAAAAAAATTCATTGTAGTTGTAGTGATTTCCCCCAAAAGGAGAGAATAACTCTGTAACACAACTACAAGTAGAGACTCAAAGGAAAAAATGGATTTTCTACAAAAACTACGTGAATACCTAGAAGAAATGAAGCAAGAGATAAAATAAATAAATAGAAGCTCTGATAGAAGAAATTAGAAGATTAAATTACTTAGAAGAAAAAGTGGTAAAACTTGCCCAAGTAGCAGACTCCTCAATAAGTAGGTTAGCAAACAGAAATCAATGACTTTATTAGGTAGCGAACAATATTAGAACAAGTCTAATGATTGAAAAAATAGAGGAAAATCTATGTGATATCAGAAACAACTGAAAATCAGTAAAATTAGAAAATCAGTAAAAAAAAAAAAAGATAATTTAAGAATTGTTGGACTCTTTCAAAAGCATGATTTAAAAAAGCAGCCTCAGGGGCAGGTAAGTGGTGCAATGGACAGAGCATTGGCCCTGAAGTCAGGAGGACCTCAGTTTAAATCCAGCCTCAGGCACATGATACTCACTAGCTGTGTGACCCTGGGCAAGTCACTTAACCCTGATTTCCTCACCAAAAAAAAAAAAAAAGCAGCCTGAATACTACATTTCAAGAAACCATAGATGAAAACTGCTCCGATCTATGAGAACAAAAGGACAAAAGGAAGACAGAAAGAATTCACCAGTCACCTCCTGAAAAGAACTTCCAAAAGGAAAAGTCCCAGGAATGTCAATGCCAAAATCCAGAGATCCCATGTCAAAGAAAAAAATACTGCAAGCATCCAGGAAGGTGTTAAGATAACAATGTCAGGATGATACAAGACCTGACAACAGCCTCTATTTAAAGAAAGGAGAGCTTGTAATGCAACATTCTAACAGGCAAAAGATATGGGCTTACAACAAATAATAACTTGCCCTGAAAAGCTGAGTATAATCTTATGGGGATTGAGGGAGGTGGAATAGACTTTTAATGGAATAGAAGACTTTCAAACACTTTGGATAAAAATGCCAGAGCTAAGTAGGAGCTTTGAAATGTTAACACAAGAGTTAAGAGAAACCTAGGAAGGTACATGTATCTGAGCAAATAGAAGTTGCTCCTGGTGATGCAGTGCTAACATTCTGAAAGGGAGAGAAACCTCCAGAGAAAGAAATGATAAGAGTATGAATGCAGACCAAAGCATACTTTTTTTTTAAACTTTATTTTTCTTGTTTGTTTTTTTTTATTTCACAACATAGCTAATATGGAAATATGTCTTGCATGACTGGACATGTATTATCTATGTCAAATTGCTTGCCTTCTTAAAGAGTGGAGAAGGGGGAAGGGAGAAAGAGATTTGGGAACCCAAAATTTGGAAAAAGAAAAAAAGAATGTCAAAAATTATTTTTACATGTAATTAGAAAAAATTAATTTAAAAATAAAAGTTGAGGAAATTGGCAAACACTAAAAAAAAAAGGTAAAAAAGAGGGAGAAGAAACAAATATCCCTTCAGGACCTTAATGTCTTCAAAGGGTATTGAGGGAGTCAAACTGGTTGATTGTTGTCCTTTGTAATTGAAGAGGACCAAAATGATATCACTATGTTAGGGTCAACGTACAGTGTATCCAACTGTGGCTGATCAGACCAGTATGAGCTCAGAAGGCTCTACTACAGGTCAGGCACAAATAAACATTTGGCATGGAGACGTGTCTAAATTTGCACCTGTCATGCTTCTAGCTACTGCAAGTATGCTTTGCTCCTAGAACACAGCACCTTTCTTTGATGCAAGCACTCCATGCTGGGTGGTCCTGTGCCTGTGTCTCCCATGTTTCACAACTGATACCAGAGTTCTTCAGAAAGACCTTGAGACTGTCCTTGTATCTCTTCTTCTGATCTCCATGTGAGTGCTTGCCTTGTGTGAGTTCTCCATAAAATAGTCTTTTAGGTAAAAATAGATGTGGCATTCGAACAACATGGCCAGACTATTGGAGTTGCACTCTCTGTGGTAGGGTTTGAATGCTTGGCAGTTCAGCTCAAGAAAGGACCTCAGTGTCCAGTATGTTTTCTTGCTCAGGAGTGGGGAACCTATGAACTCAAGGCCACTTGTGGCCCTCTAGGTCCTCAAGTGTGGCCCTTTGACTGAATCCAAACTTCACAGAACAAATCCCCTTAATAAAAGGATTTGTTCTGTAAAACTTGGACTCAGCCAAAAGGCTGCACCCAAGGGTCTAGAAAGCCATGTGTGGCCTTGAGGCTACAAGTTCCCCATCCCTGTGCTTGGTGATCTTCAGAATCTTCCTAACACAATTCAAATGGAAGTGATTCAATTTCCTAGCATAGTGCTGGTATACTGTCCAGGCTTCACAGGCATACAACAATAAGGTTAGCATGATAGCTCTGTAGGCCTTCAGTTTGGTAGACAGTCTAATACCTCTTCTTTCCCATAGCTTCCTTCAGAACCTCCCAACACCAAGCTAGATCTGGCAATGTGTGAATCAACCTCATCATCGGTGTGTACATCCCTGGAAAGCAAACTGCCAAGGTAAGTGAACTTAACCACAGCATTCAAAATTTCTCTACTTACTGTGACCAGTGGTTCCACATAAGGCTGGTACAGGGCTAGCTGGTAGAGAATTTCTGTTTTCTTGGAGTGAATTGTCAGGTCAAAATTAGCACAAGCGACAGAGAACTTATCCATACTCTGTTGCATCTCAGCCTCTGAGGCTGCATTGAGTGCACAATCATCTGTGAACAAAAATCACACACCAACTCTTCCTCCACTTTAGTCTTGGCTTGTAGCCTTTTCAAGTTAAATAATTTACCATGTGATCTTGTGATACTGTTCTTGTCCTCACTGAAAGCATCTGACAGCGTGGCCAAAAATATCATGCCAAAAAGCATGGGAGCAAGCACCACCCAGCCCTGCTTCACTCTCTTGATAACTGAGAAAGCATAAGAGCACCATCCATTGTCCAGACCTCAGGTAAGCATACCATCATGGAACTGGCATACAATATTGATGAAATTCTCTGAGGCAACCAAGTTTTGCCGTAATATTCCACAAGCCCTCATGATTGACAGTATCAAAGGCTTTGGTCAGATCGACACATGTTGTGTACAGACCTCTGTTCTGTTCCTGGCATTTCTCCTGGAGTTGTCAGCAGCAAACACCATATCACCCATTCCTCGCCCTTTGTGAAGCCACACTGGCTCTCAGGCAAATGACCATCTTCCAGGTGAAGGATCAGCCTATTAAGGAGGACTCTGGGAAAATCTTGCCAACAATGACTAAGACACCTGTGATTGTCACAGGACAACCTATGTCCTTTTCCTTTATAGAGATGGACAATGGAGGCATCCTTGAATTCCTGGAGGATAATCTCCTCTTGCCATGTGACCCAGAAGATGTCACTCAGTTTTTGTATGAGCAGCGGACCCCTGCCTTGTAAATCTCAGTTGGATTAGAATCAGCACCACATACTTTGCCACACAAGAGGAGCCTAATAACATTCAAAACCTCTTCTTCAGTTGGAAGTTCAGCTAGAGAGGAATTGACTTCAACCTGAAGTATGTGGTCAATGGCTTCTGCTTTTGTTGATGATGGTGTGTTGAGAACATTATGGAAGTCTTCAGCCCATCTTTCCAGTCTCATGTCTTCATCACTAATCAATATGGCTCCACCAGTTCTGAGTAGTTGAGATGTACCATAGATCTTTGGCCCATAAGTAGCCATCAGGGCATGATAAAAGCACTTTTGATTGTTACTACCATCATAAAACTGAATTTCATCTGCCTTCTTACTGAGCAAGAATCCTGCATTTCTCTAAGTTGCACTTGTACTTTACTTTTGATGAAGTTAAATGCTATCTACTTAGAGATGGATGAACTATTTAAATGCTGGTAAACCCCTGTGGAGTTCTCATTTTTCATTTAGTAACTTCTGAATTTCCCCTTCATTTTCATCAAACCAGTCGTGATGTTTGTGAGTGTTCTGGCCCAGGTGAGTAAATGCAGTGCTATACACCAAATCTCTGAAAACTGCCCACTGCTTTTCTGCTCTACTGTTGCCAACTGTGTATTGGTTCAGCTTTTCCTCCAAGTTAGCAACAAACTATTCACTCACAGAGAAGCGTTCGAATCTGTTGACATTAAGTCATCTGCTAGTTGTTTTGCCCTGGGGCCACTTTTGTCGAATGTGAATGTTTCTCTCCGAGAGGATCAGTCCAGTACTCTGCATCACTCATCACCTCTGTCACTCTCGCATCTCGTCTGTCTCTTCTCCTTACAATGCCATAGTTTATTAAACGCCAATGTTTGCTGCAAGGGTGCATCCGTGAAGTTTTATTGCCTTTAGGTAAATGGAAGACAGTGTTGGTGATGAGAAAGTCACGAAATGCACAAGTCTTCAGTAGTAAGTGACCATTGCTGTTTCTGTATCCAACTCTGACTCTGATACTTCTGTATCCAACACTTCTGTATCCAAGGACTCCCTGCCATGTTTGATAGTCTAAGCCTTTTCTGACATTAAAATCACTCAAAATTACAAGCTTGCCTTCTTTTGGCACATTAATCTTCATTAATTCTCTGTTCTCCAGATCTTCATGAAATTTTTCTTTGACTTCATTAGGGTTCCTCCTGGTGGGAGCATATGCACTGATGATGGTGGCTTGGCACTTTCCTGCAAGTGGTAATTGCATTGTCACGAGCCTACCATTCACTCCTTTTGGGAGGCCTATAAGCTTGTTGATTAGATTTGATTTGATTGAGAAAGCTAGGCAAGCTTCACAGCACTCCCCATCCCTGCAGCCACTCCAGAAAAATGTGTATCCAGCTCTAACTTCAATAGGCTGGCCTTCATTTGCTAGCCTTGTTTCACTTGGGGCTGCTATTTGGATGTGATAACTGCTGAGTTCTTTCACAACAAGAGCTGTTCATCTTTCTGGTCTACAGGATTTCATGTTGTCCATAAGTGTTCAAATATTCCATATACCAATAGTGAGTGGAATCACCTTCACAAAAGTTTTTGCACTTTTTTTAATGTTTCAACTGCAGAGTAGGATACTCACCTCTTGCAGTAAACAGGCCTGGGTTAGGTTAGATGAAGCAGACCGTTTTTAAGGCACTTTTTCTAGTCCCTTACTCATGCAAGAAAGCGAAAAGTGCAGTCTTTTCAAAAGGCTGCTCAAATACCAGGGGGCTGTTGAATCCCACTGCTGCTTCAGTCCATTGAGAAGACAACTGTATGGGCCACCTGTGTGCAGGGTTGTGACTATAGCTCCCAGTGTATCCCCATCTGTTGCTTTATCAATTGCTCATCACCACAGGACTTCAAGGTAGGTAAAAATGGTAAAAATGTGACATCTTTTGACTCATAAATCAAATTTAAGTGAGGCCGAATTGTGCAAAATTGTTGACCTCACTCTCTCCCAGAGTCATTGGAGTCCAGTGGCAAGAAAAAAGTCAAGATGACCGGTGATGACCTGGGATTCAGTGAATGACCTTGGTATCTTTGATGTCTAACCACGCTCTAAGTGCTCCACAGCACCTGCTTTTGCCTCTCTCCTGGCTCTTTGGAACAAATTGCTCACATCCACCTATACCACCAGGGAAGTCTTCACATACTTGGCATAGACAGCACCCTAACTCACTGACAGGTGTGAAGTCTCTTGGCTTGGCCCATCTGCTGGAACAGTTGTACCTGGGTGGAGCCACTGTGCATGCTACAGTTTCATGGAGCCACAGGTGAGAGTTGGATGGCAGGTAGACACCAAAAGTGGAAAGAAGTCCTGATAAGGGCTTAGTAGCCTTCACACCAGAGATACTGGTCTTCCCTTAACACCCCTTCTTCAATTTCTTCAAGACATTTGAAGACCCTAATGTCACAGGGTATTGAGGGAGTCAAATAAGAAAAACAAAAGACCTGGGGGTGCATGAGTTTGTTCTAAGAGGGGAAAGAAAGAGAAGGTAAAAGAAATACGTTAATAGAAAGGGGAGGAAGAAGGGAGTCCAACTTACTACTTTTCATGATCCAGATCAGTGAGAAGAATATACAAACATGGAGGAAGGGGTGGGACAAGCTGGCATCAGTTAAACCTCATTTATTTGAAATGGACAACAGAAGATTGAACACAAACACATACACACAAACTCTGGTGTGTGTGTGGGGGGGTACACACATATATATCTCAACAGAGAAATAAATGGGGATGTAAATAGGGATATATAAGAGTGGGGAATAATAACAGGAAAAGAATAGTCACAAGCAAAACAAACATGATTTCTAAAAGAAAAGGAAAATAAGAGCAAAGGTCAATGCCCATCAACTGAAGAATAGCTAAACAAGTTGTGGCATATGAATGCAAGGAAACACTGTTGCTCCATAAGAAATAATAAAAGATTATTTCAGGAAATTTTGGTTAGTATGAATTGATACAAATCAAAGTAGCAGAGAACCAGGTGAATAATTTATACAAGGAAAACAGCAATGTAAAGGGAAACCCCTTTTGAAGACTTAAGAATGCTGATCAATGAATGACCAGCTATGTCTCAAGAGAACCAATGATAAAGCACATTACCCGTTCCCTGACAGAGAATGGATTCAAGGGATAAGAGGAGTTTTGCATTTTAACATATGGCCTTAGTGTGGATTCATTTTGCTTGACTATGCTTGACTTAACAATAGTGATGTCACAAAAGAGAAGGCCACTGGAAAAAACGCAGAGAAAGGAACAGAAAGAAAAACAGACAAGCAGGACAGTTTTGAAAGTAACAAGTGGAATTAATTTCATGCTTCAAACAAAAGTGAGCAATAGGAAATGGAGAGTCACAGTTTTATATGCAATCTTCCTCTTTTCTTCTGTATATGGAAATATTCTTTCAGTTTATAATAACAATATTCTAAGTTTACAACAAAAATGAGCTTTTAAAAAAGTATATTGTTTGCAAGTATTTAGTCATCATATAACTGTCACATAAATGAGAGAGCTGGTGGGCTTCCTACCTAAATTCAATTTCACAAATATTTCTTGATTGTCTGCCATATATGGCCATGGGAGGGGGGGCATCTCACACACACACACACACACACGCACACACACACACACCCCTTTATATTGGTACAGCTAATAAAACTCACGCCATTTACAACAGTTCAGTTTTGGTCTATTGTGATTGTATTTGTTAGCAATTTTCCTGAGAGCCCCAGACCCTTACCATCTGGGCTTCTACTTTACCAATACTTTCCTTGGTGTAGTAAAAAAAAAAAGTCCTGAACTCAGAGGTCAGAGGGATATGGGTCTGTGTCCCAGACCCTAACTAGCTGTGTGATCTAAGACTAGAGACTTAGTTTTCTCATTTATAAAAATGGGAGTAAAACTACTTGAATACACCACCCTCCTAGAATCATTATAAGGAAAGCACTTAGTGAACTCTAAAGTACTATATACTTCAATGGTTCTGTGATCTCAAGGGGTGAGTAGTCTCTCCCGTCCTTATCTCTCTTTTCCCACAAACTCTACATAAAGGATCTACCTCCAGACAAACTGGCCTATTTGCTGATCCTCCCCCATGATACTCCATCTCTGATCCCCTCACCTTTGAACTGGCTATTTCCCACATCTGGAATGCCTCTTGGAATCCCTGGTTTCCTTTAAGACCAAAGCTCAAATGCTATCTTCTGCAGATCTTTCCCAGTTCCCTTCAGGAGCTGGAGCCTCCCCTTCCATCTACTCTATATGAATCTTGTATGTAAATGTTGTCTTCCCCATCAGAATACAAGTTCCTCAAGAGAAGATACTATTTTACCCTATTTTTGGTAGTCTCCTTCTGCTTAGCACAGTGCTTGACCCAGAGTACCCAGAGAAAATGCTTAATAAATTCTTATTAATTAATACTCAACATGCTGGGGGGGCTTTTGGACCTTTTACATTTTTCAGGTATCAGT